TTTTTGGGTTTTTTTTTTTTGGTTTATAAAAATAATATATTTTTTTTTTTTTTTTTTTTTTTTTTTTTTTTTTTTATGTTTGTCAAGTGAATATTTTATATATGTATATAATTTGGTTTGCTGTTTTGTTTTTGTTTTTTTTTTTTGTAAATCGTTTAACATTCTGTTTTTTTATTTGTTTTTGTTTTTTTTTTGTTTGCCGTTATGTGGACAATTTTGTTTGTTGTTGTTTTGTTTTGTTTATATATTTTATTTTTAGTTTTTGAATTTAGCGTTTATCCATTCAATCTTCTGCAAGATGATTTGAGAACAAATTAAGAAATACATGAAGAAAAATAAATGCTTGTTAAATGTTTTCAATACATAATTCATATTGTGTGTTAGATACTAAGAATTTGTATAGCTTTTTATAGATCTTTCAATGTGTTCAGTGTGTGGGAGGTGTTTTTGTGTCAGAGGGGGAAACGCGATTTAATTTTGTCTTCAAATTTTGTTTCTCATTTTTTTTTTCATATGATATTTGGCCGAAATATTTGGAAAGAATATGTTAAGACTAAAAAAAAAAAACTATAAACAACAAAATTGATAATCATACAGAAATTTGAAATAGCGAAATTTTAGAAAATTTTATGAATTTGCAATTGAATAAAAAGCACAAGATTGCAAAGAGTATTTCAATAATAATAATAAGAATCTGTATCATTTTGGTCATACTCAACTTGTTCGAAATTGATTTGTGGCTAGTTCATATTTTATTAATATCTTCTTAGTTGTTATAAATATATGTATTTATATTGATCATAGGTACTTAAAGTGGGCAATTATTGAATTTGTTTTGTTTAGTACTTTATATGCTAGTTAGAAGGGAAAGGCAACAACAGATTAGACTAGACTTGAGTTGTCTCTCGTGTTATATGCTTTTTATCATTTATATATGTACGTATATATATGTGTTGATCTATATATTATTTATAATACTTTATTATCCATAAGATGCCATAGGTTTTGCATATTCATTTCGGTTTTGTTTTATTATTTTATTGTTGTTGTTGTTGCTTTCATTTCAATTGATATTTATTGTTTATTTATTTAATAATTAAATGCCAGAGCTTTGGATTGTTGTTAGTTAGTATTTCGACAATAAAGAAAACGATTTGACAATAATTGAATTCATACAAAAGAAAGAAACAGAGCAGAGGAGAAAAAAGAGAATTGTTTGGTTTTTACACTTTGTTTTGTACACACATTTCTTGGTTTGTTTGTTAGTTTGTTAAGAGTTGAAATTTGTTTTTGTGTTCTCATAAAAAATTTCTATTTGAATAAAGTTAGTTTATGTATGATTAAATGATAATTAAAGTTTGTACAGCCAAACAGTTCAAATGTGGCAAGGGCAAAAGGCAAAAGAAACCCGAAATAAAATGAAAGAATTCAGAAATGTATATATGTATATTATATAGTATAGTTATGATACGACGCGATGGGGCGTGATAGACTAGAGACATGAGTCAAATATGCTGTTACGGACATGGAAATCAATTGAATTGGATTATTAGATCGTTTCACTTGAAGCTAGGATGAATGTATGGATGTGCCATTCGAAATCCATAGACTACAAACATTGCCTTCAGCATTTGCGTCTCTTGTGTTGCCATCTATAACTATAGAATTGCATGAACTATGAGAAATGCCACGATTTGAAGCGCTAATCGTTGCTTCCTTTACTATGTACGCATGTGTATGTATATATGTATGTGTATGTATTGTATATTTATGCGGCAGCCAGTGAAATTTATGCACGGACAAACTTCAAGGGCGTTGCATAAAAAAAAGAACCAAACCGAAAATGTATGTACAAAATGTGTAAAATAAATAACTTGAAATAAATCATAAGCAAATTGAAATTAAGTTTGAATATTACATAAAAACATATTAATTTTAATTTATTAATATTTAAAGGTGAATCGAAACTGACTTGATAAAACATTTTTCTATTAATTTTATGCCAAGCAGCTTTAGCTTAGCAATAATTCAATTTATTTTCTGCTCTATTATAAAATTGAAAACGGAATGTTATAGAACTTTAGAGTTATCGTCAGTCTTTATACGTATTTCTCGAACACAGACAAATACAGACAGCAATCCTCTGCTTGCAGCCCAAATAAATATACAAAACTTGTGACATCTTCGAGACTTCGACTGAAGTCCCAAGTTCTTATGTACAACCAAAAAGTAAAATGTTACCCAATAATAATTAGAACGAAACTTAATCAAATCACAGTTAGCTATTGCATTTCGCAAGCTAAGACCTCTTACCATCGGTGCTGGCGAGTGCCTGTTGGGACAGGCTATCGATGCCCAGCTTGCGCATACCGTCTTGGATTTCGGCCAAATCGGTATCATTGGATGTTTGAAATTCGTCCGAAACGAACTCGGACTCGGAGATTTTTTGGGTCAAATCATGCTTAAGTTCTTCGGCGGCCTTCAAATCAATGACAGGCTTCGGTTGGTCAGAGACAGCGGCTATTGCTGTGGGGCTGTCGCCGCCTGTCGTACTCTTGACAGGGCTGACAGTGGGATTAATATTTGCTTTATCTGGTAATTGTTTAGCTGCTTTCGAGCATGTCAATTCATTACAGTTGGGTTTGATTGTTTTTTTGGTTTTACAATTTGGTATTTAAAATAACCAAAAAATATATACATGAAAGTAAAAAACAAATAAAAATATACATAAATTTAATGTTAAGAAAAAATGTAGAAAAATCAGGAAAGAAAGAAAGACTGAGTTGATTTGATATTTGATTATAGATTATTGATCTTGAGAGCTGAGCGCACGACGAAGTGAATCGGTGAAAATGAGAAACGAAATCGAATCTTCAGCACAGGCGACAGACAGGCCGGTGCAGTTGAAGGACAATTACAAATTAAATTATAACCGAATCCAAATGATATCAAAATCGATTGAACAGAAATGAAACTTAGGGTTCAGATAGCATACTATATAGGCGGTGTGTAGTACAGATACTAGCCGAAAGTTAAAACGAGAGACTTATAACTTGGAGCTAATTCGAAATGAAAAGAGAAAAGGCGCGTGTATGAAAAGAAACGTTTACTAAATCATAAGTGGAAACATAGACTTAGATAGACAGAGAAAGAGAGAGAGAGTTAGAGAGATAGAGATAGCGAGAGCGAGAGACATTATTGGCAGAGTTAATTCACAGAGCGCGCGAATAGCGAGTGTTTGTATGTGTGTGTAGGTGAGAGAAAGAGAGTTTGGTAGAGAAAGTTACTGAAGAGGAAAGCGCAAGAAAAACAAAAACTTGCGCATGTTTATCGCTTCGGTGCAAGCGCTTGATTGTGATCTGTTCTTTGGTCTTTGGTGTGATAGCTGATGGGCAATAAACCATGATGAACTTACCATCTTCACCGCTGGAAGCCTGGCCCACGCCATCGGCGCCCAAAGTGCCCAGCTCGGCGGCCTGAATGATTAGCGAGACTCGATAGAAGTAATTCCGCCAGAAGTTCTCCTCAGTGATGCTGTGCACGGATAAATGAGTGAGAATCTTTAGGGTTAGCTTGGACGGGCATGGCCACGCGCACTTACATCTTGGGCACCAACTCGAAGCGCATCGTTTCGAGCGCCTTGTCTTCGGCCATAATGGCTATGGCAGTGGGATATGCAGTGTCATAGCTAAAGTCAAAGTCAACGCCGGCTGGCGGTGCGCGCACAAAGTTGCGACGATCCTGTGACAAGCCCAGGATTTCCTCCTTGATCTTTGCCTCGTTGGCATGGCCGATCCAGGGGGCAGCACCGTTGCCTGCACCGCCCTGGCCCTTAATGAATGCCTCCTGCTCCTTGTTGAATGACTCGAGTATGGTCTAAACGAGCGAAACGGGGAAGAACCACAAGAATAACATATAGAATATGCGGCTTTAGGATTTCACGCATCTGTACTCACATTATCCTTGACCGTCTCCTTGATCTTGCTGCCAGCCTTGCTGATGGCCGATGACAAGAAGGAGCCAAAGTGCTTGGCCTGCTGTGTTACTTTCGTGGTAACTGTGGAAGCGATAATCGGTTCGATTAGTTCATTGAATATGATGCGAATGAAGTAGAGTTAAAGTAAAAGTGATTCCAACTAATTAATGCAGTCAACCAAAGTCGCTAGGCTACAAACTAAACAGTATTGGGAGATCGGAATATTATCAGCTAGGGGTGTATAAGTAGGTGGGTGCTAGAAGTGTGTGGAGCATATTAACTACGGGTTGTATTTACTAGCTAATTAGTAACCTGTCACCGCTTTCTATAAATTTAGTTCGCACTTCGATTTGGCAAATTGCAATTGAAGTTCACTTTTTGCTTGTTTTCAAGTTGACTTTCATTTGACTTTTTATCAGTATTGATGTTTTTGTTACCAATCAAACTGTGACACGTACTTTTCAATTCATCGCCCTTACCCTGTCCAATTTGACCCTCGTCGCCAGTGGGCGTGCCGCCGCCCGATGCTGGATGCGAATCAGCACCCTCTGTAGCGCTGTAATTAGAAATTGCGTCAGCGTGCAACACAAAGAGATAGAGAGAGAGAGAGAGCAGAAAGGGAGAAAGAGAGATAGAAAATAAGCTTGCGTCAGATTTATGTTTGTGAATTTTGGGTACATTTATATGGAAATATTGTATATATATATCTATATACAGATTATCTGGTGTGGTTATTGCAGTTGAACTCGTGCAGCATGCGACATGCCCAACAACAAAATCAAATTAGACATTTGCCAATTGGATCCCGTTAAGCAACTAATATAATATACAAATCAAAGATACGTGCAAATTAAGTTGGGAGCCTGTAACTAGAGAAGGTTACTGGATCTTATCATAGACTAAATTAATCGATTCTAAATCATATTTTCATTGTTTTAATTAATTTATTGTGCTAATTAGTCAAGTTCATTTATGGATGCAACTAAGGGGGCATGGAGAGCTTACAATTGCGTTAAATTTGCGCTGACAATTAATTATTATACCCTCCAGCCTTTGTAAACGGGGTATAGTGTTTTTCTGCAGCTGTACGTAAGTGCTCAGAGAATCCTATTATAAACAGAGACATTTCTTTGTTCGGAGACGTTTCATTCAGGGAATGTTTTAATTGGGCATTATCAACAACTTTATGTTATACCCTGCAGCTATTGTGAATGAATGAAAGGGGTAAACTGTACGCAAGTGTCAAGACAATTCTAAACAAAGCACCTCAATATTTCATTATTTACAGACATTTATTTTGTAGGGTATCTCTTAGTTGGACATTCCGAGTGAGAACACCCTTACCTAACTTTTGATATAGCCTCTAGCTATTCTGAACAAGGAAAGGGTTATAATGTTTCTGTTCAACTGTACGTAACAGTCAAGAGAGTCCTTAACAGAGCAGCTAAATATTTCAGGGTATCCCAGTGAGAGCACCCTTACCTGACTTTCAATCAGGTTGGTCAGAGCTTTGTGTGTGAATGGCGACTAATTGATAATGCGTTGCCCGAAATTCACTCAATTTGTAAATTGCGCTGCAATGAGGATGGGCAAGCAGGAGATAAATTTATCCGCGCGACGCAAACGGCTGCCTCTCAATTATGTAAATTGAAAGCAATCAGTGTAATTGTCTAATTGCGTTCAAAGCTATATTTAACACCAACTCTATGTCGTATATTAATTTAGTCTATGATTGTGTGAGCCTGCGACAATTACTATATGTTTCCATAATCACATCACGTTTATGTATATTTACACGTTTGATTTTAGTCTCAGTCAAGGACAGTTAATATTTAAATTATTTTTGATGATTGCGAGGTGAATGCAATGTGAGAAGAATATATGTCGATTGATTGATGCAAACCGAAAGGAGGAATGAAAACCAAACCAACTGATATTACAAATGCATGAACCTGAACTCAAGAGACCAGAAAGAGAGATAGAGAGTGAGAGACAGAGGACACTAGGACATGCACTAAAAGAGATTTCAGTTTAGTTATTTGAGTCTCCCGCTGTTCGCTTTGTGACTTTAAGATCAATTAGAAAGAACTCTAGCACAATTGGAGAGTGTATTTGGAAGGAGCTGCAGAGTTGCAGAGCTGAAGAAAATGATATAGTTGCTACATACATTTAAAATCAGATGAGAAAAAATATAGTGAAAACATAGAGAAAATGATTACTGAGACACGATGAGCTACACATCGACACTGAGAAATTAGGATGGAATAAAAAACATTGTAAACTAATATCAAATCAAATGATAACAGCTATTAACAACAATTAGTTTTTAGTTAGTTTTATCTACTGCGTAGCCACAAGGATATTTCCAGATTAATTTGGTGTGAGTTTTGCTTAAATCCTTGAGGTGGTTTGATGGGCCGCTCAATAATGATGGAATCTGATACTTGAACATTTCTTTCTGTACTAATCGCTATATATATTAAATCAAATTGATTGAATTTTTAAAATAACGCGTTACGAAATGAAAATGTGAAATGAATCAAAGTGTGAAGTCAACTAATGATGGTCTTTGGTTAATGTTGTATGGGGCGTGTCTTCTTACAGCATGAATCCAAAATTAAATGATTATATAACTTGATTATGAGTTTTATGGAATTCGTTGTTTATGTTGCCGTCTCTTCAAGAATATTCTTCGACTATCCATAATTGTGTCCCCTTACAAAATGTCGAATTATCAGAGTATAATAAAAAACTTACCTTAATCAACTGATTGATAAAAGTGAGAAAAACTAATTCAAATTTTGCAAAGGGACAAAATTCTGTTTGATAATCGACTTTTTGGCACTTTGTTAGTTAATTGTAAGTTCCTTATTGGATATTAGGTATACATACAAAAACGTTTCAAAGAGTTATATGTGGGTAATTGTCTGTACAGTATAAAGACAAAGTTATAAGTAGTCAAACTAAATTTAGAAGAAGAGTTTTGAATAAAAAAAATTGAGCAAAAGTTGGAACAAAAAACGATAGAATTTGTTTGAAAGTGAATAAAAGTATTTGGTTTTGTTTTCTTGTTAACTTTTTTAGCTAAATAATTGTAGAAGAAAAATTGGTGAATAGTGAAAGACAAAACTAAATGACAGTAGTCATAGGGCATATTTAGGGTAACTTGTGTTTAAAATGTATATATATATAAATATGTTATTATTAGTTGTATCTTATTGTTTTGCCACTTTAGTGGGCGTATCAACGCAAAGGCTTGGGCGGGAGCTGTATAATTAATTTTGGTTTCGTTTCAAAATTCAAAGTTTCGTCTTGATTCATTCCGCAGGTTGAAACAAAACAGAAAAAGAAATATCCCGACAAACAATAGCCGTCAAGTGAGCAAAATTTCAACAAAAGGTGCGCCAATCGTATCAAAAAGTTGCACAAGAACTTAAGTAAAATAAAAAAAACTTACGAAAAAAGAAAATAAAAAATTTGTATATATAGGATAAAAGAAAACTTAGTAACAAACGCGCTTTTATATATGATCTTTGCTTTATGTTTGCCGCTGTTTGTATCGCATATAATTCCGTCATTCTTAAGCATGGGCCCATACCTAATATACCTCGACTTGTCGTCATCATCGCCTCCACTCACAGTACCCGCAGCCGCGGCATCTGCAGCGCCCTCGCCGCCCTCTGCTCCGTCGGCGGCGCCGCTCTTGCGTAGTCCAGGAATCGATGGTATCGATGGCATCGCCGGCATCGATGGCATCGACGGCATTGCCATGGCCGGCATCGACGGTATCGAAGCATTGCCCAACCAGCCCTTGGCGCTGCCCAGCCAGCCGCTGGAAGTAACAAAACAGAACAGAAATGGCATGAGCATAAGTTAGTCAACAGGACTCCTGCACGATAATCAATCTCGGCTGCAATTTGACGGCGCTCAACGCTTGGCTGCTCATAAGCAGACTCGATAATATCTATATATTCTATTCATTCAATAGTATGTCAAGCAATGAACAGGCGCGCATCAACTTGGCAAAAACTACTTCACAAAGCCCACTTCACACAAGCACGCACTCAACCAACCACAGGGTGTTCCAGGGCACAGAAAGCCATAGATCGAAACTAAATAAGCACTGTATTAGTTAAGGATATATAATATATTACTTCTACATAGCATTAATATATATTATAATAAGTAATAGTATTCAGATGGTCCTTCCGCACAGACACCCTGTACGATATTTTCTCTTACTTTCTAGAGTCTTATTTTTTTGCTGTGCCCAAAGGTTTGCGATTTATTGTAGAATCTTTGTTTAATGGCCGCTGTCATAAATAAAATGAAAGCTCGTGTAATACATTTAATGCACTCAACATGAAAAACGAGAGCGTAGAATGTCAAAGATGAAGAAGAAGAAAACAAAAATGTGTCAAAAATATTGCCTTTGCATTAAACTTCACGTGACATACGTTTGACTCGTATTTTTTTGGTCGCACATTCATAATCATCGGAAAAACAAACATTCATAAAAAATTAACTAAAACCGAACAACAAAAGGAAAAGTACTACAAATGGACGCTTCTGAAGACTTTTGTGCTATTTGCCTCTGCCGCAAGCATCGCATTGTGAGCACTCCATGCAAGCACACATTCTGCAAGCGCTGCCTCAAGAAAGTCTACGATGTCTGTCTCGCCAAGGTCTGCCCACTGTGTCGAGCTCCGTTCGAGTATTATATTGTGAGTATGGCGAGTCGCTGCAAAGCTCGCTAATTGGCAACTTGTTCTTAGCGCTGTGAATCTCTATCTATGTGTCTCTCTTCCAGCGTGAACGTGGCTCTGGCATTAAAATAGTATTTCTGGCATAGATCTCTACATATACATATAAACCGACGCGACGTTGGTCTAATTTGTTCAGTTACTTAAATTTTCCTGTTCTTATATTTAAAAAAAGCATTTTTTTTTTTAATTTCTGGTTTTACCTTGTTAAAACAATGTTCAAATTAATTTCTTGTATGTGCCTGCGAAACTCTGAAGCTTTACAAGAACTGAATACAGGGACTTGGAACATGAAAACGAATATTTGATTAAAAAAAATATAAAATTCAAATAAATCTAAGCAGATTGCATTTTACTCTTGGGCTGAGCTCACTAATCGAAATCACTTGACTCAGATTCATCAATGCCGCAGAGCGACGCTTCGATTCTATCCATTCAAGCAACAAGCAGCACAAGCACAATCCATGTGGGGCGATGGATGGAGCTCGATTCAATTCAATTCGATTTGATTCGATTCTGGGTAACATGCAATGCCAAAGCGAAGGTATTGAATGCTTTGCCTGCGGCAATACAAAGAAAGGGAAAGAATTGTCGAATTGCCGTTTTGCCACGCCATAAGCGTATCGCATGCTAAGTATGGATGATGACGAAGCTGATGATGATGATGATGATAATGGTGACGATTATGATGATAAAAGGACACGTTAGACCAGTGAAGGCTAAAGCATATGCAATAAAAATTGACAAGCAACGGAATATTACAGGCTAGCTGACATTCCATTTCATTGTGCTCTATGGACGCATTGACAGGGCAAAGGGATGCAGTGAGAAGGACTGCATTGCAATTATAATGGATATACACACACCGACACACACGCATGGGATCGATGGGGAATGAGCTCAGCGATGCGACAAGGACTCAATGCATACGAACAAAAAGTGACCATAAATTGACGCAAGTTAATTTCATTTCATTGCAATATTTATTGAGTTTCGCCTCGTGCAGCACCTATGGATGACAGACAATAAATGGAATTATTAAATGCATACATTGTACACGAATAAGCCATGTCGTGCTCAATTAGCCAACAGAGTTCAAGTCGGGGCTTATCTCTTGCAGCTGTGCAGCTTTGCAGCTCTGCTGCTGATAAGCCCTATAACTATCATTAGCATTCACCATCTTAGCCAAGTGGCCAAGTGGCCGGCTCCACTGCCACTTTTTGATGTGATTTATGCGTTTTGGGGGGCGCGATGCTTTTACGCAATTTTGTTTGCCTGACAGACGGCTACAGTGTTTATTTATGGCCCGCCTAGGACTATACAGCATTCGCATAATACTGCCCAGAGTCTGATAAGTGGCATACTTAAAGCCAGAGAGCTGGGCAGCGCCATCCAGGCATGTCGTGAATTTAAGTATATTAAAGCAGACCTTTAGCCTCTTCTCCTACACAAGAATAATACATTTATTTCTCTTTACTTTAGACTCTTCATTGAGACTGTAAAAATGAACCCCCATTATAAAATTTTGATTAACAATTTTAAATGAAAATAATTATTTGAAATATAAACAATAACTATTATTAATATTAATTCTTTCTAATTACTAAAATCCATTTCATTTGCTCAAATTAATTGGAAAAACCACAAATTTTTCAATATAATTTTTTTTTTTTTTTTATCAATTAATTTGGGCAAAACATATACACATATTATATGAAATATGATTTGTACAAAATATATAATATAAAAAACTTTTAAATAATTATTATTCAAAATTAAAATTTTTAAATAAAGTTGAATTGAAAAATGTTATATTCATTTAATTAATGGTAAAGAGTTCTCTATATTTTCGTTCATATTTTCCAAGTGCTATGAAATATCTTTTTTGAAGACGGACGAATTTCAATCTTCAATTTCATTCCTACCCAACATGTTGTGGTCTGAGACCTTAGAGAATTATTTTTTACGGAGCTTTTGAATTTTCATCATGTGCAGTATTTGTCAGTCCATGTTGAGAGAATTTTTCACGCTATATGCGTTGAGCCATTCATATTGATGTGGTTTTTCGTTGCTTGGTTTTTTTTCCTTTTTTCAGTCGAATTGCAGACAAAAGTTTTAATTATAAAAGTTTGGCGCAGTTGCCGTTCTGCAGAAAAATAAGCCATGCCGCAGGACTCTGCACATTGACTTACACGCACACATGCAGAGAGCCAGAGGCTAGGAATTTAGACAGCGATAATTTCATAAGGAATCCTTTCGGGCCAAGAAGTTAAAGCAATTTTAAATGTCTCTCATTTTTGCATTTAATTATTTACTTTTCAAGTTAGTATAAGCAAATCTGCAAAGCAAATAATTTAGCTTCACCTTGTCAAGAACTGAATGTTTATTCAACATATATTTTGCTGAAGAGAGATATTGAAATATATTTTAAATTTTAAGTTGTTTCAATTATCATATCATTTTATTTAAGATTGTACATCTAACATCCTTAAATCAGTGAGAGCTTGTTTTAATTCCTACTTTGCTAAAAATAGGTCGACTGCTAATTCTATTGACCTGAATCTGAATAACTAATGCGAATAGTAAACAAAGAAATAACTAATTATTCCTATTCATTTGTGTTTGCTGTCTGTGCAATGCAGCTCGATGCAGCTCTGAATCCAAGTCCCTGCGAATGCATTTAACAAGCAGAAGGAGGCATATTCAGACCATTTACATTTTATATGGGGAAGGATAGGATGGGTCGCATGGTTGTAACAATGCACTCCAGCCTATCTATCTATATGTATGTCTGCCATGCAGACTCTGTATGTATTGAAAGTTGCAATGCATTAAATAACAGCAACAGGGTATAGTAGCTCCTAGAGCACTCTTATTAGTCTGAATTGCATTTTTTTCTAAGCCAAGCATTTTCTCTGTTCTGGGTTTACACATGGGTTATAAAAGGATTGAGAAAATATAAAGGAAGTACATCACTTATATTTGCTGTATGTACAGAGTTGGGAATATCTAAGTTGAAGAGCAACAGCTAACCTCTATTAAACATAAATTAGCTTTATCTGATGGTTTACAAATTATTATTATTTTTACATTGGCACTCAGAGAAAATTCAAATTTTTATCACATTTACTCACAAGTATTCTATTTGCATTCAAATGTTATTAGTGTTATTTTTTATAGTTTGTCAATGAACTTTCACCCAACAAGTTTCTCTCCACAAATTGAGTTTTCATTGTTGCGTGAACTTTGCAGTTAAGCCAACTAACCGAATTGCCCTGATGCTGGCTGTATGCTCCAGAGCATTGTTCCCTTTATGCCAACTACAATAAAGACTTTTGACCTTAAATTTGCCTCAATGAGGGAAAATATGCAATTAAATATAAAAATAAATTTGTTTTCTTTTTTTTTTATAAGTTCATGACAAAGCAAAGGGATAACAGACCAACAACAACAGTAACAACAACGGCAAGAACATTCAACCAACACACAAATCGCACTTATGCAAATTGAAGTAAGGACGGCGAGGGGCAAAGCTAAGGACAACAGCTGCAATATGCAACTGCAGTGCAGAATTGCAAATGTGGCACACTGTGCGGAGGATATGTCAATGTGACACATCAAATTGCCCGACTCTACACAAGCCCCCCTACCCGCCCCTCGTGCCTGCTGATGCGCAAATTGCATTCGCTAACGTAGATGGCTTTTTCCCTCTCCTTTCTTTTTTTTTTTTTTTTTTTTGTAGTCGATCTGCCTGATTGCTTATCGCCATTTTATGGCTTCGCGCTGACAAAAAACACAAATGGCAATTGCCACAATAGGTGGATAGACGATAACAGCGCGAGCGGATTTTAACTAGCCGAGCTTGCTCCACTGGCTGTAAGTGCGCTTTTTAATTGAGTCTGTGTCGAGTGTCGGGCGTGAGTTTGTACTTTAATTGGATTACTTCGTCGTACCGAGATTGCGCTGGCTCTGATTTCAAAGCTGCCGAGACACGCCATTTTAAAGTAAGCTCGAAAGTGGAAAGCTGAGGAAGAAGCAGCAGCCATGCCTGGCAACGCCCGCCCGTTGCTACGGTAAGCCTCTGATGGATCCACGTGCGCAAACAAGCCCACCCACGCACACACGCACATACGCACACACACACATACGGCCAGCATATTAAGGGTAATGGTAAGGGAAATTTATTGCATTTGCACAGAAAAATAACGCTAAATGCGTATAAAAGCTAAATAATATCATGTTGTACGGCAACCAAGCAGCCGGTATGATGCTGACGCACAATGCTTAGGGCTCAGCAGGCAGCACTGGCATCGCGAGGGTGGTCAGAGTAGTTGGCCCCGATTAACTACATTTTGTGTGCATGGCCAGATTTAATTAAGAATTCTGCTACCTATAATTTTATATAACTGATTGTTTTTTTTTTTAATTTTGTATGAATTTTGAACAGAAATATTTTGCTAAAAAATACAAATTATATATTCAGTAGATTAAAAACAAAAACTCGATAAAGAAGTTATAATAATATATATTTTGCATGATATTATTAGGTATGTATATTGTTTTCAACACAGCAAGATAAACTTTATACATAATTTAATAAATAAAATCCCAGCATGACAGAAACAAATTATAACAAATTTGTTATTTATATATTTGGACAATAAGGAATTTCTGTATTCCATAATATAAAACATGTAAAACATGTTAGCCCGATGAGGGCTTTGGGTTGGCGCGTATTAAAGCGGAACGTCTCAAGTGATTTAGCAGAATCTGATGTTAAGTGCATAACTGTCAAACCCTTCTCACAAGTTGGCCCTCGCAGGGGGCAGCCTCTTTGAGGGTAAGGATATAAGGCAGTTTGGAATGCCCCGATATAATGTTGATTTCAAGTTTAATGCAGATTTATAAATTGATTTGGAAATGGCAAGCTTTCGAGCCACCCTCGCCAGAGAGACGCAACAGCCAGTAAAGGAAATGAAAAAGAATGGCCAAATCCACATTTGACAAATTACCAGCAAGCAGGTAAACAGCAGGTAAAGAGACAGGTGCGGCAGGTGAGTGGGAGGGCGTAATGGATGCCAGCCCCCGACAGGAGGTAAACACCGTGAAAAATGGAGCCTATGAATGACATATACTCGCCTATCGCGTCCATCTATTGTGATGATCATGTCTGGCAATTAATAATAGATGCAAGGCTCATTTAACGCCTTTACAATGGCCACGCCCACAGTCGATAGGTAATTATTGTTTGACATTTGACTTCCGTTGTTGTTTTCGTTTCAGCATTTTCATGAACTTTGCTGTTAATGCCAGCCGCTTTTCATATTTTTCTTCTCACATTTACCACGCAGTCTTCAATTTTCGTTTTATGTCTGCGCTGTGCACGCTGAATTTTTCCAATTATATTATTTTTATAAGCAGGCGCCGTAAATTGTGCCATAAAATATGCAATACAGCATCGTGGAATTATGAAATAAATACGAATACTGAGACTTCTCAAAGAAACTCGTTGAAATTGCCTCTGATTGGCTGAAAAGGTCAATCCAATGGGTAGCTGCCTATAGATGCTCGAGTTCACTTGTGACCTTTCCACGAGGCATCATCTGCGACTATGATTGGCAAAATAGTGTAAAATACTACTTAGACGTCAGCTGATACGGCGAAGCTGAGATGATTGCCAAGGTCGACCTTGACTGAGCTGACAAGGCTGAGCCAAGATTTCTTACTCTGAAGAGTTATGATTCAACAATTCGCTTTATTAGAATTCATATACATAAATCTAGATAATCGATGCTATGATACAAAGAGGGAAGAATCAAATCCTATTGAATTTTATTAAAATTGTTAAGTATCTCTATAAAAGAGAGGAAGCCTCCAGTTTTATTGATGATAATAGACTATTAAATACTTTCAACAACGTCAGATATTCGTATGAAAACATCGATAATTTAGCCAAAAGTGGGAAAAACTAAATTAATACTATACATCGCAGAGACTATTGAATATAGTAGTATAAAATCATCGATAGTTTAGGCAAAAGTGAGATAATACAAAAAATACCTCATTTTTTTAATTAGCTTAAATTCGTAGTAGGCTTTTTAAACCAAACGAAAATGTTTCTTCATAAATAAACGAAAGTTTTGATCAAAAGATCGAGATTTTAACTTTGAAGTAATAAATTAAAACTGAAAAATATTTAATATATAGAGAAACTATATACGTCTTGCAAGTCAAAGGGTAGACGTCTCGCAGTTGGGTAAGTAAAGTGTACAGCTCCTGATGAGTTTTTGCTGAGTGTGAGAGATGATTCTGTTCTCCTGGGATTATATATCTAATGGTATGTGCTATGCTGGAAGAGCGGCTCTCCACTGGGTCGAGCAGTCTGTAGACTATAGTCAGTTTGATAGATCCTTAGTCTATTATAAACATGACACACCGACTTCTGATGATTGAGGTACGCTTTTTCTCTTATCAAATATATTCCAGCCCAGCAACTTAATGGCCCCTTACTAACCCTAGCATATTAGTGCCCATTAACTGGGCGCAGCTTCATTATGCTCTCCCACTTCCCCTAGTTTAGAGTAGTTTGGTGGAGGCTTAGAGTCGTGTCATGTGCAGGCCATTTGTTTTTAACCCTAGGCGCTCATCTAATCATTGGGCAACAGCTAAGTTCTTGATGGCTCGAAATCCTCAGCAAAACATAACATTTAATGGCGCTGGCAGCACCTGGCAATGGGTATATAATTGAAGTGAGCACTGCATCGCATCGCAGCCCACTTCCGAGTCCCAAGTCCCATTCAGGTCTTTAGTTGTCGCCGAAGCCTTCACAATCTACTTAATGGGATTGCTTAACTCGAGCAGAGCTTGTGGCCGAGAGCAGCATTAAAATATCCTGTGACTGGATCCGACTCTGGTGTAAACGTAACGAACGCAGAATATAATTATAAAAACAGGCAACAAATGCTGCCATAACAGAGAGAACAGAAACTAAATAAAAAAGAAACCAAAACTTTGTACAAATGTCTAAAAATATCAGCAGCTAACTGCAAACGTTGCGTGTCGCTGACAGGCAAGAGAAAGGCTCTGAGAGGTCCTTTGGCTGCCCTAATGTGGCCCAGTGTTATAATACTCTAAAACTTTTGACATTTACCGGGGCACGCATACTCTAATACCCAGCACACCTGTGTGTGTGTGCGTGCGTGTGTTTGTGCTTGTGTGTCTGGCTTCATGTATTTCATTTGCTTCTTTTTTCTTTTTTATTAAAACATAATAATGCGCCTTGGACGCGAACAGTCAGACACTCGTGTGTTGCCTTATATGGGCAGATTATATACAGTAGCAAATAAATCGCATTAACGGCAGTTGATAGCTTATGTGATTTGTGCGTGTATCTGGGTAATATGTCAAGAGCGTCGCAAGTAAGTTCCATTGTCTGCTCATTCGAATGCACATAAATAACTAACAATAAATATGTGTTCGATGTGTTCCAAACACCAACTGAATACTCTTACAATATGGGATGTTTTAAGCCGGAAGACTAAATTAGAATTACGAAATTACTATTTAACAAATTGATGAAATTATATTATTAAATTTATATTTTTACCAGATCTATTTCTGTTAGTTTTCACTTTTTTAGAACTCTTACTGTGTCTCCATCTATTATGAAAATAGTTTTAAATGTCTCCAAACTAATCAAACAGTATTAATAAAAAATTCTTCATTCTTAGTCATTTTGCTCCGCATATTAATATTAATCAAAAAATTAAATTCCGTCCAAAGAAAGGGTATACGAGGCAAGGACAAATCACTGAATGATAAACAATCAGGACACACTCGTTGCTCGTTGCCATGGCAGCGCACTCAATCAAATGCAGGATTGGGGACGTGGCAAACGTGGACGTGTCTGGGGCAGCAAACAAATACACAAAAAGGTGCAAATGGCCAGGATTTTATGCGCATTAATTAAAGGTAACTTAGCACAAAGGCAGGCCCCAAAGGCTGCCCGGCCTGAGCACGAGCACAAATGAATTATTTAACATGATATTTAAGCTGATTGAGATGAATTATCTCGAAATGAATAGCTGATGGCAGTAAACGGGGCAGTGGATTGTTGGTCGACCGTGGGATTGTGACACCTTGGGATTATGGCAATTTAAGGCTCAACATGTGGATGGGCCCAAACTGTGCTGGAATCGCTTTTTGGCCTGGACTCGCGATGGCCTACAATTAGCAGAGCAGCTGAACGTAAGCCGAGAGTGCAGCCAGGCAAAATTACACATAGCCCCAAGGGGACAGCGACATCCAAAGTGACATGACAAAATCTTGTTGCATATGCCGCGGCGCGATGGCCGCCAGCGAAGCGATTAAGTTGCGCAACTTTTCACATATGAGCAGAACTTTGCGTGGGCTTATGTATGCGTGCGTGTGTGGGTGTGTGTGTGTGTGTGAGGTGGGTGCATAAAGCATGGCTGTGACACTCGCAAACACTTTGGCGCAATTAAAGTTTCGAAATGCCATCGGGATGCGAGTCCCCCAGCAGCAGTAGCTTTTATTTGACTTTCTCTACAATTATGGCGCCGAGAGTTTTTCTTTTTGTGATTGCCTTTGCCATTTGGCGGCTTAAGAGACAGCCAATGGGCGTGGTCGGGTGCTGGTTTTATGGTAGAAAGTTATGACAGCATTCAGTTAATAGTTTCGCTTTTATGTTTAGTACGACATACTGATGTCTTTACGATTCCACTTAAAACTGGCGTGCGGAGTGAAAGTAATTTTATTTAAAGAAAATGTTTATTATAGCACTATAATAAAATATAATGAGTCAAAAATAACATAATTATAAATTAAATGAATATTGAAAACTTACGTGGCTTCGCTGACTAACGAATCTACCAGGGAGGATGATTTGGGTAGGCTAAAATAAAATGTGTGCAAAATTAAATAACAAAATAATAAAAATGATGAGTTAAAAGTTAAAAAAAATTAAAAGTTTTTAAATAATCCTTAAACACAAATAAATATTAATATTAATTTTAAAGAGTGAGCAAAGTGGAAAGTACTAAATTATATTAAGTACATGTAAAGCAAAATCTTTATTGTTGTGGATTTTCTATATATTCGGTAGTTCCATGAAAAACTTATTAAAATCAATATTTCAAGCCGATTTTTATCTTTACTTGAAGTGACTATAAATATATATTTAAGAAACAATCTGAGTCCTGGCTAATTGTTTTTTTTTCTCAATATTTTTCACCTTGACCTTAAGTTAAATTCATCATCGTTTGAGTTTTGCCTTCATAGTTACCTGAAAAGAGGGAAAATTTTGAATTAATGAAGATTTATATCTTTGCGATGGAAATGTTAAGAAATTAATTAGACATTTTACGTTGAGAAGCCGGCAATTAAGGCCCATGAAAGGATTATCTAATGACCGGACCGAACCGAACCGAACCGAGCTAAGCCGAGTCGACCCGACCCAACTGAACCGGATCGGACCACTTTCCACATGCAACCAACTGAGTGAATGCCTTTTAATTAAGTCTCGAGATATGATTAAACGAAAGTGATATTATGTTAAACGGAGCCTCGACATGAAAGCCACTGAACGGCCCTTCATTGTTTTCGCACACTACAGAAGTTCAAAGTTCAAACACGCAAGCGACAAGCAAAAGGTGAAAGGGTACAAGATCCAATAAGGCATAAATCTATACAGGCAAGCCTCCGTAAATCAAAATTAATACGAGTCAAGAGAACAAAAGGGACAGATTGTTTGTTGCTCTCGGAACTGGTTGAAACCATCGACGGGTAATGTACGGGCATTGCAACAATTTGCCATCAAGGACCAACACATTGTATCTGCTGGTGGTGTCCTGTTTTTATAATCAATTGACAGGAATAACGGAATGACAGCGAAAAACAAACACAGAGGGAGAGCGAGATACAGTTAAAGAGAGAGACAGCACTCTCGCAGTGCTGAGGTGAACATATAAAAGTTGCAGCTGAGCTGGAAATTGAAATGTAAATCGAGCTGACCTTGGCCCAGTGCATGCGGCATGTTGTTGCCTGATGCCCGAGTCCTTAGTCCTGTGATAGAGCATGGAAACCAAACACGAACACGAACGGCTGGCTGCCATCAAAGGGCAACAAGGCACACATGGATAGTACAAGTTGTGCGAAAAAAAGAAAATTGCAAGGATATCCACAATGTATGCAAAATAATGCCTCATGCTGCCGCAAGCCACAGGCCACAAGGAATTTTTATTTAATTAAACGCAGAGTTCAACCAAACTCAATCTCACACATCGCCTGGGAGCCACGAGGCATTCTAACTTGTTGAAGCCACAGGAAGTTTCATGGCGTTGCTTTATAATGCTAATTAAGTATACGCAGCGTATGCGAGCTACGAAGGCTACAACTGAGCGATATATAATTCAATTAGAATGATGACTTGTCGGGCAACATGAATACGGTCTTCGGGGGCGGAACAGGCCCACAATTCCAATCAGCTAAATAAATAGTCGTAATGAATTTCTAGTTTTAATTGGAGCGTAGCCAGCAATATCAATCAATCAATCAGTTGGATAAACAGCTCAAGTCCCTATATAAATATAGTTTTTGTTGTAGGCATTTCAAAATATTTGTAGATACATATTTCTAATGCAATATACAAAATGAAATTGTACTTCAGTTTCAAGCAGTTCTTGAATGGAGCTCAAGCTGTAAGAAGAGAACTTAATGAGAGTCTGCTGCGAGCACTTCAAGGCTTTGGTTGTTATGAAATGTTGACAGGATGACCAGGATAACAGCATAGTTGAAATATCATTACCAGGAGACGTCGAGGCAGCGCCAACTTCAAAGTCTCTGACAGACAGACCCCTTGACCTTTGAGGGGGCCCTGTATTATTTTCATTGGTATGCCAGCACTTGTTTAAAGGGGTCGCTGCTAAACGAGGACTTAGCTTTGTAGGGGTGCTAGCGCATATTTCATTACTCAATTACAAAGCAAACAGTTGGCGCATGCTGCTGGAGCAGTTGGCGCTTGCAATTTTCAATTAACGAGTGAGTGGCAGACATTACAGTCCACAAAGAACTAAAGCCCCAAGCTAAGGTCATATTGCCAGGCGATATGAGCCATGCGCCATACACCCATGGCAGGCCGAACTGAAGAGGTCGATAATCAACAGAGGTGTGCGGCAGCAGAATAACATCTTAATGAAGGATGCAGCCCCTGAAATAATGCAAACCGATTAAAACCGCACATTGACGTGACTCTAAGCCTCAAGTATTTAATTAAGAAATCATTTTCCATTGACACGTCAAAGGGCGCAAGGCTGTTCTCGACACTGACTCGTGTCTGCATTCACATTGATTGGGTACGAAACGAGAGTCGAAATAAAAAACATTCTATTCGAAATCAAGCCAAAGCAATGGCTGCTAAATTAAGTGCAAATGCAATGCAATGTATGTAAATAAATGAAATTGAGCTATGAAAGGCAGTTGATTAAGCAATCGATTTATAAAGGGGAGAAGTACCATTAAAAAGATATTGAGAATAGGGATATATAAGGCATTTCAAATATAATATATGATCAAATATGTTTTTATCGATAGATTGTTTATATAAAAGATATTATATAGCTAAATGTACTTTTATAATAATTATTTATTAATTTATTTTTCAGAATGAAAGAAAGAAAGCTTACATAAATGAATTAATTAATATTTAATTAGGTTATTTAAACTTGTAACTATTAGAAGTTTATTGAAAAAAGAAGAAAAAAAAATAATAATAATAAATTATTAAGTGTAAAATAATTTATTGACATTAACAAATGTAATTTATTTTGATTTAATATTAAAATGCATTAAATTTATAAAATTTTTTTTTTATTTCAGTCCCACGAGAGAAAAGTTAGAGAAAATTGTGTGTTGTACAGAAATATGAACTTGACAATATTAAGTGAACAAGTAAACCGGATTAAGAGCACATATAGTTATTAACGTATGACTTGGGCATTTCGTTTCATCTTTAATGCCTATTTAAACTTGGAAAGTTCTCTGGAAAGGCTCTAGAGCTGCTACGCAGTCGGATATTTATATAAAAGTTTGAGAGCGCTGTCAACATCTTGTCACTTTCTTTATGAGTCAAGATGTTGGCCACCGCTCCCCGGGTGTTCATGAAATAAGGATGCTGCCAAGCAGGAAGCGGCGGCGGCTTTGTTTGGCAAAGCAAACGGCACCCGCGTCCCCCATAAGCCGGCAGGATGTTGCTTGGGGCGGAAATTGTATTGGCCATAAAATGTTTGGTGGCTTTTGAGGCACAGACACAGACACAGACGGAATCAAGGAGTTGCTCCGAGCTGGAAGCTACGACAGCTATTTTTAGATTAAGCCAAAGGTCGTGCTGGCTCTGGCACATGGAACAGCCCTGCCAGCATATTCTTGGACTGTGCCTGAAAATTTAATAAGTTTGTCCAAAATATATATCGACAAAGGTTTGCATTTACTTGATGGCTTGTCAAGTGCACTAAAGCAGGCAGCCCCTAGTACTAGATCGTTCACTAATAATTTAAGGGCTTGTCAGTTAAATAGTTTGTGCTGTTTGTGCACCTTAGCACACGTAACTAGCCTCAGGTGACTCAGCCGAATCGGAGCGCTGATGTACTTAGGAGTCGGAGCTCAAGTTTGGGCACAAACTGAAACTCAATCATGTCAGTAAAATCGATTCAATTATTTAAGATGCCCTGAGTTATTAAATATTTAATAATACATTCAATATTAAATTAAAAATACTTTTTACTTGAGTAGAAAATGTAAAATAAATAAAAATAAAATAAAATACAGTAAATGTCATTGCATATTTTCTCAGCTTTATTCAACTTGAAATGGGTCTAAAACACGAAAACCTAAGAGCCAGTAAACAGCAACACTTTATGAAATGAGTTGGTCATTAAAAGTTGAAAGCGGGCCACAGCCGAAAGGGTCGCTAAATATTGATAACATAACAATTAGATTAAACGAGGACTAAAGTGGAGCTAAGGAGTTGCTCTGTGAAACCACAAAAGCGAAATTGAGATGCAGTGAGGAAAACCTTAAATTGCAAATTGAGTGGGCGAGAAACAAGGGAAAATGTTGCGACATAGCCACAAGGTGTTGGCTCCGGCTCTGGCTCTGGCTCTGGCTCCCTGGGCTGCTTCTGTTGTTGACAGAATTAATTGCGCACGTTAGCGACGGGCGCACAACACAAAATTAAATTGCAAAACGACGTGCCAGCAATAGCAGGAGCAGTAGCAGGAGCAGCAGCAGCAGCAGCAGCAGGAGCAGGATGCCGTGGCAGTAGCAAGAGCAAGCACGTCAGCCACTGCGCTCCTTGTTGCCGCTGGCATCTAGCAGCGGAATTGAGTTAGGCGCTGTTTTTCATTCCAACTATAAACACATTTGCAAGGCCAATAGACGCTGCGCAGTTGTGGCCGCGCAATTGCGTTATGTCGCCATACAAAGGCTGTCCACGAGGCACGCCAGCTAAATTGCGTATACGCCGCCTATGACCAACGCAATATTTTCGAAATTTAACTTGCAAGACTTTAAGAAATTTCTTTCTTACGTGATACAGTTAAGCCAAGAAGACAATGTCAAGTCAAGCCATGATTAATCACTGGCAATATATGTTCTCCTCAGAGTTGAAAGCTTTAATATATTGACTTAATAGAATACATATTGCTTAGTCGACAATTTGTTACTTTAATTCTTTTGCATGTGCTAAAGCGTCTGTCATGCCGATAAAGCTGTATTTGTACAGTCGCTGCTTATCCTCTATTAAAGCAGGTTTAGGGGTTCTAAAAAGCAGCCAAAATGAAATGACCAACGTTTACGCTTCAGGCTGTGAATTTTACACTTGGGATGACCTTTTCATTC